AGTATCTTCACTACAGGTAAGAATGGTGGGTATTGCTTGATAAGTCATAACTATACTGAAGGAGGGATCGTATTATAGTCTTGCTGTCCAATTTCTCTGGTTTGTGGTCCTTCATAATGTATTTCTTTTATAGTCTCATGGACTATAGGGAAGGAAAACGGCCTATTGTGGAACTGGGAATCGCACCAAACTTGACAACAATCATTATGACTTCCACCGGACGATCGTTGCGCCCCATCACCTTTTCTGGAAATCACAATCTCAATGCCCACTGGATCAGTGTATAAAATGGCTTTACATGAGAAATAGCATTTAACAGGTTATAGCACTAGATACTATATTAATTCTATTCAATTGTCCTCACATGGGGTTGGACTGGTATCTTGTGATTTGACCTGTGGAGTGTTAACTACTACACTACAGACCCACAGGTCTATATTACTTTTTCTTATATTACAGTATAAAATGTTTTAATAATAATTTATATAGAAAAAACAATTATTTTCTTTAAAACAATCAGATAGAAAATTATAATAGATAAGAAAATACAATATCTATACATTCAAGTTTAAATACTTTTAATAATATAGTATTTATACAATTAAGTTTAAATACTCTTAATAATATACCTACTCTTTAATGTTATTATTATAGAATAACAAAGCAATAGAATAATGAAAATACTTAATAAAACTTATCAATACAAACTTAATAGTATCCAATTTTATTCTTTTAAACCTATTGAAATATGACTTTTTATATATTTGAAATAAATAACTTCTTATGCAAGCCAATATTAATATATAAAAATTAACAAACAAGATATAACTGTCAAAATAATTAATATATATTTTTAAAAATAATAAAACAAATAGTGATTAACAAAACCAATAACCAATAAATATTTAAAAAACATTTTTCTTATACAAGGGCAATAGTTCACTTATATTATATTATTTCTTCTAAGTCAATATAAATTTACAAGTATAACAAACTTATTAACAACAATAAAAAACCAATACAACTATAGGAAAACTTATAAATTTAACCTGATATAACAAATATAAAAAACAATTTGCAAAAAACCAAATTATATTTTATAATCAAATCACAAACTATTTAAGATTACAAATGCTAGCTTGGATAAAAATTACATATTCTAATAAAAAACTAAATAGAAAAAAATCCAATTGATTTTAAGAAATCTAGAATAATCAAATTATGATTATAACAATTTAAAAAAAACAACAAAAAGAAATTATACAAAATTAAATTACAAACTAGCAATTGAACTTCTCAACAAAGAAATCAAATAGATAGTAATATAATCTACTATCAGGAAAAAAACCCTCTTCTGATTGCATTTGTTTTGTTAAAAAATTTTTTTTTATAATAATTTTAGCAAGAAAAATATTTATACTCTTTATTGCAAGTTAGCCTCAGCTCAGGGACTAAAGAACCTTCAAGACAACTGGTATAGTGAAATAGGATCTCTGGTCAAAGTTTACTCAAGTTTGGGAGTCTTGCTTATTTTTCAGTTGCATAAGAAAAGATCTATGACAGTTTTTTATTCTTTTGTTTTCTTGCACTCCTCCTTACTCTTATTCTATTATAAAAACCATCTATATTATTATTATCATACTCAATAAACAAAATACTTTTCAAAATATACATTCAAACAGAGTTAGTAAGTCTACTGTTTGTTTCAAGTCAATCTTCAAATTCAATTTTACTATAGTGACACTTGCTGCATTATTTCAAATTTTTCAATATTTTTATCTGATCAAAAAATTGAAATTAGTTTACCCTCTTCAAATAATTAATACCCTCTAATTATCTAATCAGATTTCATTTAAAAATCAAAACAAAAACTGAATCTGTTTGAACTGGTTTTATATAATAATAATAATCATCATATCAATCTTATTACCTCTAATAATTATAATAACAAATAATGTCACATATATTCTATTATCTATAATAACTAAAGAGTTAGAAAGATAAGACAACAAGCCTGTCTAGGGGTTCTTTTGAGGAAATAATTGATTTTTTACTTATAGATTCTATAGTCTACTTCACTTAATTTTAATTTTAGTTATGTTTATTTTTTTTTTCTTTCTCAATTATTTTACTTACAAATTTACAAAAAGATTACAAAATTTTCTAAGTAGATAAGCATAACTACTATTCAGACACAGCTAATATATAGTATTGTTTTAAATTTCTTTTTCAATATTAACTAGATGTGCATGTATAGGCAAGCTAACATTTAATTTATTACTTTATATATATAAAAGATGTTGTTGCTTTTATAATATATATTATATTATATACAATATCAAATAAAGAAATGATGTTTATCTATGGGAAAAACCCTCCAAAAAATAATTTACTATCAGAAATATTATAAAAAGAAAAAAGCAATTAATAATAATTCCATTAAGCTACAATACTATATTAAAACTGATAATCACTTATTACTATAAGAATATAAAAAATATATAATTAATATAACAGAAAAGACAGAAAAATACATTTTTAACTAAGACAAAAACAGTCTTATTACTATTTCAGTACACAAAAGCAAAACAAGCTCAAAAGATATATTAAACAAAAAACTCTATTATTAAAGCAAAATTATCTTGACAAGTATTAATGATATAACAACAAACAAATTCCAATTAACAAATCTTTTATTTTTATTACAATTTGAAAACAACCAAATTAAACTTCACAAAAAAACAATTAGCAAATATATAAATATATCAGAATATATACTTAACAAACTAGTAAATATAAGACAAAAACTAAACAAAATCAAAACAATTACAGTATATATAGACGGATTGATAGATACAAATCACAGAATGAGTTTTAGATAGCACATATTATAAATATCAACACAACTTTTCAAGAAACAATTAGCAACTTTTCATTATTAACCAAAGTAAAGCTAGCAGTCATTTAAATATTTATTCTAACAGTATTAGTATATATCAAAATCAAAATCTATATAGATAGCCAAGTAATATACAGTGTGATCAATAAGGCTCAAATAACCATTATATATTGAGAATACTAAAAAATAACAACTTAATCAATACTATTATATATATTATAAAATAGTAAAAACTTTATATATCATCAAAAAAAATCAAAGCATACAGCAACAATCCTAACAATCTTGAATGACAAAGCAGATTAGCTAGCAAAAGATGTTACAATAGAAAGCACAATATCTAAAATAAACTTTAGATTAATATTTAATAACAAAACAAGATAGTTTCAAACAAATCTTAGCTATACAATTATAAAAACAATTAAAAACTTGATCAAAATAAAACATATTTTTAACTGGAAAATATTAAATCCAGACCTAAAAACAATAAACAAAAACACAAAGAACAATATTACATAAAAAGAATCCATTATAAACAAGCACTTATCAAGAATCACAACAGGTAAAACTAATTAAAATAACTAAAACACCAGATTTTTATGATTCAAATTCTGGAATCCAAAACTTCTATTCAAAAACAATCTATACAAAAGATCTGCAAAAACATGTACTAATAACAAACAAATATATTACAAAAAAAAACAAAACCAACATATACATAATAATCTGCAAACAATATAAAAAAGATATTTTATAAAGCTTAAACAAATAATTAATGAAGAAGTAAGTAGTAAACAGAAATGAAAATCAAACTCAGATTAAAAAATGAAATTAGAAAACAATAACAAATATGGACACAAGAAATAAAGGATTATATAACAAGAAAAGTACTAACTAATAACTTTACTATTACAATCAAAAAAATATACAATTCAACACATATAAAGAAACCATAAAAGCAATTAATAATTGCTTACTTAATAAATTACAAGAAAGATAGAATTATAGGTATATCAACTTCATAGAATGAGGAAAAGAAATAGTATAGGCAAAAAAGAAAAAATAATAAAAAATCAACAAAAAAATATTCAAAGAAAACAAAAAATATATCTTAGGAATTAACTTGTTACTCAAACATACCTTATAATATTGGCTCAACTGAAATATAATATACATATATAAAACAAATTTTTTAGGAACAGGTAAAGCCTTGGCAAATTAGTCAAGTATATACCAATACTTGGCAATAAGCCATGTAGTAAAACAAGTTTTTTGATAAGTTTAATTAGATAGACAGAGGGATAATTTGTATAAATAAAATTTGTATATACTCATCCTATAAATCTAATAAACAAGGTGTAAGATACTTGTTAAAAAAATTTTTTTTCATTAATAATTATAAGTTGTTTGAAAAGTTTAAAATTATTGCTAATTGTATTGACATATGTTTTAACCTTTGTTTTGTTTATAAAACTTTAATTTGTTAATATTCAAATAATTTCTGTTTTGTAAATATAAATTTATTGTAAAGAGTAACAAACTTGAGAGCTTATTTATTGATTTATATATTGTTAATAAAAAAAATTATATAGTATTAATATAAATTTTATAGTAGAGATCAGAACATGACATGAGAGGCCTGGTGCAATGCCACACAAGATATCAATTATGCATAGATTAAGAAGCATGTTGCAATCATATAAATAGCCAATGTACCCAAAAAGGAAAAAATAGTTAATTGAAAACAAATTAATAAATTGTATTGAAGATTATCATCTATGATTGTGCAACAGTAATTAATAAACTTACCTTATTGTTGTTAGTCATCCTAGGACATCAAGAAGGCCCAGAAGTTTAGAGGCCTAGGATTAAGAGAGGAGACCAGAGAAGGCAAAAAGGGAGTCCTTGATATTGCAAGTAACAAAGACCCGCTTACCCTGACGTTGCACGAGTCTTGGTTCGGGTGAGCAACAGACTTGCCATTGCAGATAATAACATATTGGTTTTCTAGAGAAAATCATCTTACCTGAGCAAAGGTCAAAGAGACCTTATGTCACTTGTCTTCAGTTATGCAGTCAATATTCTGAATAAAAATACCATATTAGCGCGACTTGGAAAATCGTAGTCTATTCACCATTGATCCAATTACTTTTATTGCGTAATCAACTCTGCCCTTACTTTCATCGTCAATAATTTCATGCTGGGGACGCATACTTAATTCTTTTCCAGTCTCGTCTATAATGATGTGGAGAGCCGAATGGAGTAATGCATGACGTATTCGTTTCGCATGGCTTCTAAACTATCTGGTTGTAGGATCCCATAACTCTTCAATTAAACCAAAATCTCTGTCATGCAATGCATAAAGTGCTTATCTTCGCTAACTGGTAGTTCGAACAGGGGGATTGCTTCTATCCAATCGCTATTGAGGTCAAAATTTTCTAATACTTTTTCAGACTAAGGAATGACGAAAAAGCCCTCAATTTTTTCTCTATTTCTTTGGGAAAGTCTGCAAGGTCCATACTTCATTCCAAGTCATTCAAAGTCTTCTTTACTGGTCTTGAAGAATGTACGACCGGTGATCTGATCTCGCAAGATTTTGAAATGCTCATCGTCGAGTTGCAAGTCTTCTTCATCACATAAAAATTCGATAAGTTTTTCTGTATCATACTTTCTAACCAGTTCGGCTAAAGTAGGAGCCTGCTTTTCTTCGGTTGAAGTATTAGAAGCGGAGGTGGCCGACATTTTGAGCTATATATGATTTTTTCGTGGAATTTTATTGGTAGACTGCAGAATAATACATAAGAAAAAGAAAAAGAAAAAACGACTGTTAAGTACTGAACTAATTTCAGGCTGAACTTATAACTAATTATACTGTCTGAATTAAGCTTAATTCGGGTCAAAATTACATACGCGTTATTTTTACAAGGCTTATTTTCAAAATAATGCCCATGAGTGTTATTTCGTGCTTATATGGTAACAAGAAATTTTTTTAACCATTGTTGTTTCTCTCTTAATAAAAATTATTAGAAAATGATTTTTTAAGCAATTAATAAGATTAACAACTCTAGTAACGAAATTAGCATTGAAAGATAGAATGATCATATTTCCAAATAATACTAGGAAACGGAAACCGTTGGGTCCGAAGCATTATTTTAAATTAAAATAAAATTAATTTTTAAATTATTAAAATTAATTTTTAAATTATTAAAATATATTTTATGTATTTATATATTTAATGTTTTTACTATGCTTATTAAACTAATTGTTTTAATTAAATTATTTATATTTTTATATTGATTTTTATATTAATTAATATGATTAATTAATACGCATAAATTCGAATTTAACTAATTATATATATATGTTCAGGTTTTTAAATCTAGTTATAATTTTAAATATAATATTATTTATTTATTTAATAGATTTTTTAAT